GTCTTTAGTTAACAACTCACTGATTCAAATGATCCGGTCAGAGCGCGTCTTTAGTTAACAACTCACTGATTCAAATGATCCGGTCAGAGCGCGTCTTTAGTTAACAACTCACTGATTCAAATGATCCGGTCAGAGCGAAGCTTTAGTTAACAACTCACTGATTCAAATGATCCGGTCAGAGCGCGTCTTTAGTTAACAACTCACTGATTCAAATGATCCGGTCAGAGCGCGTCTTTAGTTAACAACTCACTGATTCGAATGATCATCAAACAGTACTTTTTACCTTTATTAATTAAGTACATTAAAAATTAAAAGCTACTTGTACTTTTACTCAAGCTCTTGATTTGTGTACTTCGTCCTCCACTGGCCACTAATGCACAGTTACAGGTTCAGTCCTAAAACGGCCGTGACCCAGAAACTGGAGAGTTACTGGCAGCACAGCTCTGCTCGCTCACCGTTTTCCAGACTGCCCCCATTACACCCTCACTGTACTGAAATCTCAGATACAAACTGCTTGACGACATCCAGTAGCTCCTGTGTCCAGCAGCAGTGAAGAGTGCTGAGCTTTGAGCGTTTATTCATTCGCTCATCCTGAGAGGGAACAAAGCAGCCTGTTTAAACCACCCTGCCCCGTACAAACAGCCAAACAATCAGCCTGACAATGGCATCTTTATGTCCTCATAGCACAGAGGCTTATTTTTCGCACTTCCGGACTCGATCCCTCTGGCGGGGTGAGCAGCGGGACTCTTCATACCTGCTGTGTCATGCATCGAATGAGAAGAACAAAGATCATACGCTGAAGAGTCATATTCTGCACTGTTGTAGCACTTCTCCCTGAAGTCCACTTACAGTATAATGCTAGTCAGGGTTTCTTAAGTGCTGGTGTTTTTCTAGAGCAGTAACAGCAAAGGGAGTGATGTAATGGAGTATAAATGTAATATAATTACAGTGTTCACAGATGAGTGAATATGTGTGTTTCTCCTGTCTTGTATCAGGTAACATTTAGTCTGTGCTTTTGTTTTTCTTTATTATCATTTTTAATGTAGATTAAATTTAACGTCTACCTTAAAATGATAAGAAAAATGGTATTGGTGCTCTACAGCATAGATACGTTCACTGTATTTCTTTGCATTGGACATATTGGACATTGTTTGGAGGACAACATTGGGCAGGATGTGGAATAACATTGTAATAAATAATAGAATAAAATCTTTAATATTTTATAAATTTAAACATTTTTAGATTTTAATCTAAATAAAAAAATAAATACATCATTGTTCGTTGCATCGAACAGTGTTGTAAATACAACTTAACCACTGATTTCTAGTCGTGTCCTCTTTTGGAAGACAAAACAAAGTAGTTTCGCTTTCACAAGGAAAAAAACACAGCGGCCTAGCGTGAGGGGCACCGGCTTAGCATGCGCTGAGGCCGGGATAGAGTGAGCTGAGGCGGCGGGGTCGAGATACATGGCAGCAGCGTCAACAATACTACAGCGAGAATAAAAGTTACGCCTTTCTTCGCGTGAACATTTGGGCGGCGATTTCCCACATAGTGATGTAGACATGTGGGGGCGTGTTAGAACGAGGCGTTTTAGGTAGGTGTGGCTGACTCTTAACTCTTATAAAGAATATCTCTTTGGATTTGAGACTTTAGTCTTTGCAACTTTACAGATCTTCTTTATGCACCAAGAGCTTGTAACACTCCAAAGAGAAAGGAAACATTTAAATCGCATCATACGACCCCTTTAATATTTAATAATGTTCTAAATTAATAATTTTCTTAATAATTTTTAATATTTAATATAAGCATTTTTAGATTTTAAATAAATAAATACATACATAAATCAATGCATAATTGTTAGTTGCATCTCTAGTGCAAACCTTGCTTCACCAAAATTCAGAAATAGGAATAAAAAAGATTGTACACACATATAATTGAATTCAAATAAATTGATCCTGATGAGCCATGTAATATTTGTCTTGTAAGAAACATTATAATAAAAATCTTTAAAAAACATTTGCAATCTTGGTGTTCAGTGTTTAAAAATGGCCCTGAGCTCTAGGTGATGAATATCAGTCAACAGAAATGATCATTACAATCATGAAGTTTCCATAATTAAAAATACATTTCCTCCAGACTATAACCAGACGCTGATGATTCATTGAGTCCAGTGCAAACGGAGAAGTGCTGGTGTTAGAGTGGCCTTCGGTGTCTGAGACAGCAGTGATGGTCTCAGTGACTGCTGGAGTGTGATTAAAGCATCTGAATGTGATGTTGATTTGGTGTATTTCACACCTCTGTCTCTGTCTCTGTGTTCACGCAGCCGCAGAACCGGCCAGTACAATGTCCAGCGGGGCAAAGCGGCCGGTGCGGCCGGTGCGGCCGGTGCGGCTCTGGGCTCGAGCTCAGGGAAAGCACTGTACCAGCGCTGCAGCTCCCAGGACTCTCTGGACGAGCAGGCCATGGTGGACTACTTCAAAGAGGTGGAGATCATCCAGCGCAGCGGAGACGCAGAGACGCAGGAGGACCTGCAGCTGAAGGTGGCTGATGGTAAGAACCGCCCGTCGCTCTGCTTTAAAGTGCCCCTATTATGGGTAATGAAAGGTTCATATTTTGGTTTTGGGAGTCCCCAACAACAGGTTGACATGCATGCAAGGTCAAAAAAACACTTTTATTATCTTAAAATATGCATTTATTTTTACCTTGCTTGCTCAACGACTCCCAAAAGATTCGCTCAACGATTCATTTTTCCAAACACCTCCTTTGCGTGACACTATCTGCGGTGATTGGTCCGCGTCAGGCATGTAACGCCTTATAAAGCAGTGTTTGTGAGCGCAGTGCTGCTTTGTGTACAGCATTACCAGGGAAACCGCTTTTTTTACTTGGACTGGGAAAATAAATCGATGCATCGCGAATCGAGAAATGATTCGGCATCGATTCTGAGATTTTCCGAATGCATGGCGATTCTTTCTCGAGTTGATCCTGAGCTTAGTTTTGAACAGCAGATGGCGCTGCATGCTTTAGCGACAGCCGGACTCTGCTTGTTTCCAAATCCTTGCACACACTCTAACCTAAAATAATCATTCATAAAATTCGAAAAGGTTGAAGCGAATCACAAGGGTGTTCACGGTGGGCTGTGTTTACATTAATCTGGCGTCATAAAAGCGTTCTGAGCCGAGGTGAAATTGCAGACTCAGCGAACACACAAGCACTCTTCTTCATGAGCGTTTGAGTGTGCGGATGAAAACTAGAGTAGAGCGACATCTGCTGTTAAAATCTAAGCTCAGAATCCAGAGAGAATCACGATGCTTTCGGAAGATCTCAGAATCCATCCACGAATCGATTCTGCATCGATTTATCGTCACAGCCCTAATTTTTACCGCTCCAAAAGCGGCACCTAGTGGCAAAGAATGAATTTGCATTTTAATTCAGACCAACACGAAAAGATCAACAAGTGGGCGGGCAAAATGCTAATGTTTCATGTTGACGTCAAAATGAAACGGCTTGGGATTAGTTTTAAAAATGACTAATTTCATTGATTCAGAGTCGACTCTTTCTTTTGAGAGACAGTAACTTTATACATGGTGCACTTTCAGATTTAAAACTTTGCAGGATGTTTTCAATCACTTAGAGCTGTGTTACATGCTGCATGAAAGGTACTTTTCAAAAATCCATAATAGGGGCACTTTAACTGCAATACAAGAGTCAACTACCATCAGACCTGACAGAGCCAGCTCTGTACAGAAAATAAAACCATTTCTAGATTATTTAATTTAAGACTGCCTTTAAAAATGAACATTAATTATAAAACTACAAAAGAGTCACACTTCAGTTTGGGGGACCACTTCTCTCCATTAACTAACTATTAACTACAACTTCTGCCTCAGACTAATGTGCTGCTTATTAATAGTTAAATGTTTTTTCCCCCCCAAGACTTTTATGGTTTTAGTTAACAATAGTAACCCTGTTTTAAATGCCTTAAATCATCTGGATTTGGTCAGATTGACTAATTAGACAGTTTTTGTGTCTCTGTATGTGGATTAAACCCTACAGACGTATTTTTTTGTATTTTTTCAAACAAGGGGTGAGTCATTCGCTCCATTATTTTGCATTGCTCCATGTAAAAGGCTATATTGCAAAAGCTTGTGATGACTAATGGGTTTCTTGTACATTTTAAGCATGTTTTCTGCTGAGTATGCTGCGTGAAGCAAGATTAAAACATGACGTGCACTTAGGCTGATGATGCACTGGGCAACTTTTGAGCAACCAGGTGAGACACAGAGCCCACGACGGATATAAAATATCCAAAAAGACATTTGTTACCCATTCTCAATGGGAAAGTGCCCAAGCAACATTGCTCAAAAAAAGTTGCACGGCAAAATTGCTCAAAAAGTTGCTCCGTCTATCATCAGCCTTACATTTCTGTCACACTGCTGAATGAATGAATAAATGAAATTATTGAATTACTGAAATGATATCCCTCACTTCTTTGTGTAAATGAAAAATTCAACCATACTGCTTGACCTGGGTAGCCTTATGAGGACTATACTTTTTATGAATAAATGAATGAATATATTCAACATATTTACGTTTTGAAACCGAACACCTTTCAAAGGCACTGTATGTGGCACTATGCTTATGTTCCTCTAGTTGTTAGAACAATAGGCTTAACTTACAGGAAGAACCTAGCATAAAAACCACAGGCGGAGATCAGTCGTGAGTCAGCGGGAATTGTTTGCCCCTAAAGGAACAACAAACTGTGACTTCCTTAACTTCTGCGAGTGTTTAAATTGTGAAGTTACCGGAAAAGGAAGATATTTCTGTTTCCTGTCAGCTGGATTAATGCCTTCCTCCTAAAATAACACAGTAACACATACTGCATATGTCACTGCACCGCTTGTGTGATTAATAAGAGGTTGAGGAGAATACAATAAAGCGAGTGTGGTTGGGTTTGATAGCGAGTGTTGAATCCCAGAGCTCTGTGTCAGAAATGTCTGGGCTTATCTTACATATGTGACCCCGGACAACAAAACCAGTCATAAGGGTCAATTTTCTGAATAAATAATATTTCCATTGATGTATGGTTTGTTAGGATCGGACAATATTTGGCTGAGATACAACTATATGAATATCTGGAATCTGAGGGTGCAAAAAAATCAAAATATTGAGAAAATCATCTTTATAGTTATTCAGATGAAGTTCTTAGCAATGCATATTACTAATCAAAAATTAAGTTTTGATATATTTATGGTAGGAAATTTACAAATTATCTTCATGGAACTTGCTCAAAAAGTTGCTCCGTCTATCATCAGCCTTACATTTCTGTCACACTGCTGAATGAATGAATAAATGAAATTATTGAATTACTGAAATGATATCCCTCACTTCTTTGTGTAAATGAAAAATTCAACCATACTGCTTGACCTGGGTAGCCTTATGAGGACTATACTTTTTATGAATAAATGAATGAATATATTCAACATATTTACGTTTTGAAACCGAACACCTTTCAAAGGCACTGTATGTGGCACTATGCTTATGTTCCTCTAGTTGTTAGAACAATAGGCTTAACTTACAGGAAGAACCTAGCATAAAAACCACAGGCGGAGATCAGTCGTGAGTCAGCGGGAATTGTTTGCCCCTAAAGGAACAACAAACTGTGACTTCCTTAACTTCTGCGAGTGTTTAAATTGTGAAGTTACCGGAAAAGGAAGATATTTCTGTTTCCTGTCAGCTGGATTAATGCCTTCCTCCTAAAATAACACAGTAACACATACTGCATATGTCACTGCACCGCTTGTGTGATTAATAAGAGGTTGAGGAGAATACAATAAAGCGAGTGTGGTTGGGTTTGATAGCGAGTGTTGAATCCCAGAGCTCTGTGTCAGAAATGTCTGGGCTTATCTTACATATGTGACCCCGGACAACAAAACCAGTCATAAGGGTCAATTTTCTGAATAAATAATATTTCCATTGATGTATGGTTTGTTAGGATCGGACAATATTTGGCTGAGATACAACTATATGAATATCTGGAATCTGAGGGTGCAAAAAAATCAAAATATTGAGAAAATCATCTTTATAGTTATTCAGATGAAGTTCTTAGCAATGCATATTACTAATCAAAAATTAAGTTTTGATATATTTATGGTAGGAAATTTACAAATTATCTTCATGGAACATGATCTTTACTTAATATCCTAATGATTTTTGGCATAAAAGAACACAAATATGCACAAAAATACCCCAGCAACTTGAGACTGGTTTTGTGCTGCAGGGTCACATATGTTCGTGTTGTGTTGTGTTCTGCAGAGGGCGAGCAGGAGGAGGCGTGGCTGATGGAGGCGGGGCTTGCGACGCTGTTCGACGAATCGGCTTCAGACGGTGAGGATGGCATCGTTCTGCTGTCGACTCTGACCCGAACGCAAGCGGCCGCCGTGGAGAGACGCGTGGAGATGCTCAAACAGACGCTACGCAAACGCAGCAAACCGTACAGTGTCCCAGATGTTCGAGAGATCTTTAAACCATCTCCTGCTTCACAGAGTAAAGTACGTGACTGACCTTGCATTAGTGTAAATCAAGATTTTTAGCTCCGTAAGATGCACACACGAGTTAGAAACCAATGATTGGCTTGACTGGGGAGAATCTGTGTGTCTTTGAGATTTATAATTAGTGAAATAATACAGATCAGTGACAGTCTGCCAGATGGTCTTGATTCAGTCTAAACCGTGGCATATGCCAAAGCTTTAGCAGGATGAAGGATGTCCTACTAGTAAGGCTGCGTTTACACTGGCACAACAAATCTGATTTTTTTACTCACGTGTGACACAGGTCAGATATTGTTGCACATGTGTAAAGACAAAAATCAGCACAAGATTTTTTTATTTTTTTGCATCTGTTCTGAGCCACTTCCAAATGTGGTTATGAATCCATAGTGTAATGAATAACCGAGAAAGCGTAAAAGTGAAGGGTTATTTCCAGTTTGAAGGATGTGATAAATCACAAACATTAACGTCATTTATTGTGCCATATTGAGTGGTTTATTAAGGACAGCTGTAAGTTGTGATTTATGTTTCTGCTAGACGCTGCCCTAAATAATCAATACTGTGAACTAAGACTGAAAGTCAGAGACTCTGAGAAAATCCTCATCAGGATGGAGCTACAGGAACACAACCTGATGCTCATGTTCTCCAGCATGATCTGAGACGATCCACAGAGCATCAGCAACATCTGACAAAGACTCACATGATCAGTGTCACTGACATTAGATTATTCTCCTAGAAAAGCAGAATCTGAAAGATCTCCAGGATTTAATGAGGCCTCAGACTTTTGAATCCGGCACGGAATGATTAACATAACATAACTTAACATCATGCTCTCTCCTGTGTGTGAGAGTGTGTGTGAGAGTGTGTGTGAGAGTGTGTGTGAGAGTCTGTGTGTGAGAGTGTGTGAGAGTGTGTGAGAGTGTGTGTGAGAGTGTGTGTGAGAGTGTGTGTGTGAGAGTGTGTGTGAGAGTGTGTGAGAGTGTGTGTGAGAGTGTGTGTGAGTGTGTGAGAGTGAGTGTGTGTGTGAGAGAGTGTGTGAGTGTGTGAGAGAGTGTGAGAGAGTGTGTGTGTGTGTGTGTGAGAGAGTATGTGAGTGTGTGAGAGTGTGTGAGTGTGAGTGTGTGTGTGTGTGTGTGTGTGAGAGAGAGTGAGTGAGTGTGTGAGTGTGTGAGTGTGTGTGATTAAGTGCTGATTCACTCTCAACACATGCTAACAGTTTGTTTCTCTTGTTTTCCATGGCTCTCTTTTTCTGACAGGATGAGGCTGGATCCACAGAAAGAAGTGGGAGCAATAAACAGGAAGTGGAAGGACTGGGTATGTGTCATGAGTTGAAGTGTACTGCAGCGGCTTCTGTTTTATGGCACTCCTGAAAATGTTCACATGTAGTGTTTAACATGAAATGGCAAAGCAACACAGAGAACATGCTGGGATGTCCATTGCTTTCCCTAGTAAAAAAACAAACAAAACTATTTATTTAAAATAAAAAATTTTCATACTAAGTATACTTTAAATCCATTACCATATGAAATGAATGAACCATTCATATACTTTAAATCCATTACCATATGTATATAGACATTTTTGGAGTATTTCCTTATTGCACAATGCACATTTCTTAATATTAAGCCTAAAATATGTTTTAATATCACTATTAATAATAAGCATTGTATGATCTTAGAATAATATCAGTCTTTAAATGCAAATGCACCTGAAGTATACTTGCAATAGTTCCACTTTTATCATCAAATATACTTCAGTGAATCTTAAGTTGGACTTCAGCACTACTTCCCCACAACTGAAGTGCATTTAGTACAAAATGAGTTGTTCCAGTTTAGCAGACTTTAAGTTTACCAGTTTAGTATACTAAAACTACAATTGCAGCACATAAATATGTAAATGTATTTGTAGTATACTTACCACAAAACAAATGTATTTAAAATAAACTTTAGTATTTTTTTCATTAGGGTTTGTAACTGAAATGAAACATTTAGCTTTATATAAAATGTGTCTGTCCTCGGCTTCTGCTGACCTTGACATCCAGAGAAGGAGAACCACGTAGTGTGTGTGTGAGTGTGAGAGTGTGTGAGAGTGTGTGTGAGTGTGTGAGAGTGAGTGTGTGTGAGTGTGTGAGAGTGTGTGTGTGTGTGTGAGAGAGTATGTGAGTGTGTGAGAGTGTGAGTGTGTGTGTGTGTGTGTGTGTGAGAGAGAGTGAGTGAGTGTGTGAGTGTGTGAGTGTGTGTGATTAAGTGCTGATTCACTCTCAACACATGCTAACAGTTTGTTTCTCTTGTTTTCCATGGCTCTCTTTTTCTGACAGGATGAGGCTGGATCCACAGAAAGAAGTGGGAGCAATAAACAGGAAGTGGAAGGACTGGGTATGTGTCATGAGTTGAAGTGTACTGCAGCGGCTTCTGTTTTATGGCACTCCTGAAAATGTTCACATGTAGTGTTTAACATGAAATGGCAAAGCAACACAGAGAACATGCTGGGATGTCCATTGCTTTCCCTAGTAAAAAAACAAACAAAACTATTTATTTAAAATAAAAAATTTTCATACTAAGTATACTTTAAATCCATTACCATATGAAATGAATGAACCATTCATATACTTTAAATCCATTACCATATGTATATAGACATTTTTGGAGTATTTCCTTATTGCACAATGCACATTTCTTAATATTAAGCCTAAAATATGTTTTAATATCACTATTAATAATAAGCATTGTATGATCTTAGAATAATATCAGTCTTTAAATGCAAATGCACCTGAAGTATACTTGCAATAGTTCCACTTTTATCATCAAATATACTTCAGTGAATCTTAAGTTGGACTTCAGCACTACTTCCCCACAACTGAAGTGCATTTAGTACAAAATGAGTTGTTCCAGTTTAGCAGACTTTAAGTTTACCAGTTTAGTATACTAAAACTACAATTGCAGCACATAAATATGTAAATGTATTTGTAGTATACTTACCACAAAACAAATGTATTTAAAATAAACTTTAGTATTTTTTTCATTAGGGTTTGTAACTGAAATGAAACATTTAGCTTTATATAAAATGTGTCTGTCCTCGGCTTCTGCTGACCTTGACATCCAGAGAAGGAGAACCACGTAACCTTACATCTAATCATTCACACCTGTTCAGAGATACAAGCAGGACACAAATAACATGTTTTATTGTAAATGATAGATGGAAATAAAAGCGATAGAGGTGTTGTAAAGAGGTGTTGTATGAGCTTTATACGCTGCTGGGTTATCTTGTATGTTTTACAGGGTTCATACTTTACCCTGGGCTAGTAATCAATCCTGGGTTGTCAAGTTTTGACATCTCACACTGTACATTGTTAAACATTGGGATAATGTTCTTATTTACCTATTTCCAAAGTCAATAACATCAGTTTTGACAAGTACAGCATCCACTGATCTGATGTTTCAGATCTATGGAAAAGTCTCAAATCGCCAGAAACATGCTACATTAAAAAAGACAAAAAAATCTTAGAATTGGTTTTAAATAGTGCTGTCAATCGATTACAACTTTTTTTACTAATTAATCGTACATTTTTTTTTTCCAGAAATTAATTGGGATTAATCCCACCTAACATTAAATATTCTTTTATATTGCAATCATTTCACATTCAATCTTCAAATTAATGTAGAAAACATAAAGACAGTATATTTGTAATATTTGTTTAGTGGCATTTTTTTCATGACTAAAGGTGAGTATCACTGATACCAATACTACTTACTGATGTCTCTAGGGAATGTTTTCCCCCTAATATTTAACCATTGACTATATATAATGTTGACTATACGAACATTACAATTTAATTGAGAGCTATCAAGTAGAAAATATACAGAAATTGGATAAAGGTATCAAACACTACATTCTAAATTAAATATATATGAATCCTTAATGCTACAAAAGTGATTGATTTCCTCTTTTTTCTTTTGTTCTTTCATGAACAGACATCACAGCAGCTGATTATTAGGTTTTTTGGCTGCTATTACTTTAAGAGCTGCCGCTGCTGAACGTGATGCGGATCAGAAAGTTTGATTCGCGTGTTTTCATATGAAATGAAACAGGCTACAGGAAAGGAAAAGCTCCTCGTCATCTGTACCGTTTCTGCACTCGTGCACACTTGATGTGGTCATAAAAATGTTCTGCATCTACTTAAATGCAATTCTTGTCAAGAAAAAAGAAACCGAGGCAGCAGTTGTGAGTGGGGTGGCCAACCTTAGCTCCGCCCCTGCGTTAAATATTTTTAACGTGTTAAACTGGAAAAATGAATCACGTGTTAACACGCTAATTTTAACAGCACTAGTTTTAATCATATTTTTATTCTTCACTTCACTGTAGGTGTTTCCCATTGCTGTTTGAGTTTTTCTCAGAACTAAATGGAGCATGTGAAAATCTTTCCATCTTAAAATAGCGCACGAGACAGTCAGTTAATGATTGGTTGTCTGTTGCACTGCTGTGTTTGGCTCTGCTTTGCTCATAGTGCTGGATGAAATGCAGTACTGAGCAACATGTGAGATGTTGCTGGAATCAGGGGTCACCTGTTAAAAGTGGCCGGAGTTAAAGACTTCAGGGTTTAGTACCGAGTGAAAGTCCTCCAGACAGATTGTGCTGTTGCTTTGCAGTTGTAGTGTGTGTTTGGGAGCAGAGGTGACTGTGGTTAAGTTATCACTGACTGCCAAATAATGACTGCCAAATAGTGATTGCTGGATTTTGACTAGCCTGATTTAGGTAACTGTTTAATCAGTGAAGAGTGATGCAAGATGGTCGAGTGCACCAATACAACTGCACCTAGTTTCAGAGCGTGAGATGTTGTGTGTGTGTGTTTATTGTTTGGGTAGGTAATGGGGCGGGGCCTGGCGCTCCAGGGGGCGGAGCTGATGCTGAGACGGACATTAACCTGGAGGTGTCGTTCTCCGAGCAAGCACTTATCTACAAAGAAGGGTTGAAGGTTACCCAGCCCCAGAATGAAGCTGACGACAGGTTACCCGTGAGTCAGACATTCACTCATCAGGTTAACACTTGAGGATTAAGGAATGTCAATGTTTATATGGTTATGAGTCTCACAGAGACCTTTGATCTGACTGCATATGTTTAGAGTGCAAAAATGTCAAATGAAAGATTTAAAGCATTAGTCGAATCACTGAATGACATGAATGTGGATCCTCAGTCAGATCGGTGTGTGTGTGTGCTCTTATTGAGTAAAGCTGACCTCTGCTGGACCGTATGTGGCACTGCGTCTTCTGTATTCTATGCATCCTTTCCCTTTCCAACTTTTCAACATCTGTCACACTTTAGTTGGGGACCAATTCTCACTATTAACTATTAGGGCTGTGCAATTAATCGCATGTGATTGTTATGCGCATCTCGTCAGTAAAGCCGGTTCTGTGATTAGTAGTAAATCTCAATCACGTGCTTTCAGATGGAGCGGCATTTAATACACAGAGCCACGATTCGTCTGCGATTAATGAACGCAGTTTTGCGTAGTTTGTCAGTGAACTACTACTAATCACAGAACCGGCTTTACTGACGAGATGCGCATGACAAATCACATGCGATTAATTGCACAGCCCTAAACTATTAACTATGCTTCTGCCTCAAGAAACTCGTAATTTGCTGCTTATTAATAGTTAGGAAGGTAGTTGTTAAGTTCAGGTATTGGGTGGGAGTAAAGGATCTGCAGAATAAGACGTTAATATGTGCTTTATGAGTACTAGTAAACAGCAAATATGCAAGTAATATGCATGCTAGTTAATAGTGAGAATTTATCTCTAAACTAACGTTACCCAAAAATCACTATTACGGTTATATTACATTACATTTAGTTCTGCAGTCTGAACACAAACACCAGTATTATGTTGAGTTTGTGCATCATCCTGCAGTGTTTGTGCTCCAGACATGAATGGTTCCTCAAATCATGTGTCTTGTTAAAGGGGTCATCGGTTGCCCATTTTCCACAAGTTGATATGATTCTTTAGGATCTTAATGAAAAGTCTATAACACAATTTAGTTAAAATTTCTCAATGGTAGTGTAAACCAACACCCTTTTTTCCTTGTCAAAAACACCTCTGTTTACAGCAACCTGTTTCGGTGCATGTCCCTTTAAATGCTAATGAGCTCTGCTCACCAATGTTCCCTCTAATTTTTTTTCTTGCTGAGCAAAAGTTTTCGGCCCCCTGAGCAAAAACACTCTTTATACCAGACCTGAACAGTGCGCACACACAAAAAGTGTGTAACTTTTAACTTTAATGTGCTATTTATATTTGATTTGACCATTGATGTGTAACTAAATGATGTACATATTTGGTTACCTGAGAAAACATTTTTTACTCTATAATACGCTGCCATTTAAAAGTTTGGGATCAGTAAACTTTAATCAGTTGCTCCATTTTTGGTGGATGATAAAGCAGCTAAAAATTCTGACATTAAAGGAGGGACGGCATAATTAGAGACCAGAACATCACAGCAGCGCTCAGCGACCACTCGGCTAAAACACACAATAAAGCCAACATATAGCATTTTATAAATGCATCCGTGTATTTTTTTTTTCTCATTCTGTTTCTCGTCTTTCAGGATTTTAAAGTGTCCCAGGATAAGACCGGACAGACAAGAGTAGGCGATCTGTCCGCTGAGGACATGAAGAAGGTTCGCAGGCTTGTTCTGATCGAGATGAGCGCTCTGTTCGACACGTGTGGCATCGAGGTGAAAGCTCATAAAGCTCTCAAGGTCAAAGTGAGAGGTCAGTGCCTCTGATATGTGTTCAGAATCAAAAGACTGGATCTGAAAATGCTCTCAGACCTTTGAGTTCACTGTATGTTTTCCTTGCACACTGTGCTAACATTTCACATCCGTTTTGTTCACACATGTGCATGCTGGAGACAAAGTCCCCTATAAAAGGAGCACTTTCATGTCTGATCTTTAATTGGTTTTGATGAGGATTCATGTAATTGTGTGTGAACATGCGAGCACTGAATCTGAAGCTGGTTGTGACTATTGTTTTGTCTTCCGTAGAGTCGGGTTTGTTTGGTGTTTCTCTCTCTACGCTGCTGGAACAAGACCAGCGGAGGATCCCGGGAACCAAAGTGCCTCTTATCCTGCAGCATGTAAGAGAGCTGAGACTTAGAACTGTAACCAAGCAAACATGATGGTAACGCAGACCAGGGGCATTAACTCGGAAACTACTACAAATCTACCTGTCATCCTTTGAGATTGGAAGCATGTATATTTCCCAGCAGTAATGGCACCATTATTCTGAGTTCAGTGCAAGAAGTCCGATAGTACAACTGTCCAGACCTGAATGTCAGAGACTTGAAGATAGGCTAGAAAACCCTAGAGGTCACATTTTGGTATTTGCTAAAAGTGCTAAAATACTCTTAACAACCACTGAAACATCTTTATAGTAACCTTTTAGCAACACCCTGGCAACCAAACACTACCTCCTTCATTACAAGAAATTTGACTGTATTTATTAGCTACATGTACTTACTATATGTTTAGGATGTTAGGATGAGGGTTTGGCTTGGGTTTAGTTGCATGCAATTATGCATAATTTATTGTTATGTAACAAGGACACCATAAAATGTTATCAAATACTTTTTAGGGCCAGTACATTTTTTAAAAGAAAATACTATTTATTGAGTGTAAAGACATTTTTAAAGACTTAGAACTGTAACCAAGCAAACATGATGGTAACGCAGACCAGGGGCATTAACTCGGAAACTACTACAAATCTACCTGTCATCCTTTGAGATTGGAAGCATGTATATTTCCCAGCAGTAATGGCACCATTATTCTGAGTTCAGTGCAAGAAGTCCGATAGTACAACTGTCCAGACCTGAATGTCAGAGACTTGAAGATAGGCTAGAAAACCCTAGAGGTCACATTTTGGTATTTGCTAAAAGTGCTAAAATACTCTTAACAACCACTGAAACATCTTTATAGTAACCTTTTAGCAACACCCTGGCAACCAAACACTACCTCCTTCATTACAAGAAATTTGACTGTATTTATTAGCTACATGTACTTACTATATGTTTAGGATGTTAGGATGAGGGTTTGGCTTAGGTTTAGTTGCATGCAATTATGCATAATTTATTGTTATGTAACAAGGATACCATAAAATGTTATCAAATACTTTTTAGGGCCAGTACATTTTTTAAAAGAAAATACTATTTATTGAGTGTAAAGACATTTTTAATGTTACAAAATATTTATCTTTCAAATAAATGCTGTTCTTTTGAACTTTCGATTCATCAAAGAAACCTGAAAAATAAAATGCGTCACAGTTTCCACATAAATATTGAGCAGCACAACTGTATTCAACATTGATTATAATCAGAAATGTTTCTCGAGCAGCAGATCAGCATATTATACTGATTTCTGAAGATCATGTGACACTGAAGACTGGAG